GGGGACAAGGGGATGGATGGGGAGGGAGAGAGAGGGATGGGGATGGATGGAGGTGGATGGGGAGGGGTGGAGGGATGGAGATGGCTGGAGGGATGGGGTGATGGCCATGGGTGGAAGGGTGAGGTTGGATGGAGGCATGGGTAGGGACAGAGGGATGGGGATGAATGGGGATGGATGGAGGGATGAAGGTGGCTGGGGTGGCTGGGGAAGGATGGAGGGACAGGGAAATGGAGGGATGGGGATGGAGGGATGGGGATGGAGGGATGGATGGGGATGGATGGGGATGGATGGAGAGGCGGAGATGAGATGGATGGAGGGATGGGGATGGACTGAGATGCATGGGGATGGATGGAGGGATGGGGATGGATGAAGGGATGGGGATGGAGGGAGAGGTGGGGATGGAGGGAGAGGTTGGGATGAGATGGATGGAGGGATGGGGATGGACAGAGGGATGGGGACAAGTGGACATGGATAGAGACGCAGGGACAGATGGAGGCACCCCATTAGAAGCCACTTACCCCCGTGTCCCCCTCGTAGGTGCCTTCCTAGTGCACATGGCCAGCTCCTGCTCGCTGGCGGCCAACGGCTCCCTGCTGGATTTCGACTTTGCCCTCGTCTTCAACAAGAACCCGCTGGTCTGCTACGACCCTGACACCCTGCGCTTCGTCCCCTGTGACTGGGGGCTGCTCCACACCGTTGCCACCAACTTTGCCACCTTCCTCAACAACAGCACCACCTGGGTGGAGCGCGTTGAGGCCCGGCGCCAGGCTTGCTGCGACCTGGCCCCCCACTTCTGGGCCTCCACGGTGCTGCGGCGGAGTGAGCCCTGCGGCGCATGGGGGCTTTGCACAGGGGCATCGTGCATGGGGGCTTTGCACAGGGACATGGGGTAGGGCGTCATACAGGGTGTTGCACCAGGGTGTTGCATGAGAAGGTTGCATGGGGGCGTTGCATTGCACGGGGATGTTGCATGGGAACGTTGCACGGGGCATTGCATGGGGCCGTTGCAGAGCATACTGCACGGGGATGTTGCACAGAGCATTGCACAGGGCTTTGCACAGGAGCATTGCATTGCACGTTGCATGGGGACGTTGCACAGAGCATTGCACGGGACCATTGCATCGCATGTGGCATGGGGATGTTGCATGGAGCATTGCATGGGAGCGTTGCCTCGCAGGTGGCATGGGGATGTTGCACGTTGCATGGAGCATTGCACGGGGCTTTTCACAGGGGTGTTGCATCGCATGTTGCATGGGGACATTGCACGGGGCATTGCACGGGACCATTGCCTTGCATGTTGCATGGGGCATTGCATGGGGCATTGCATGGGAGCGTTGCATTGCGCATTGGTTGTGTGGGGGCGTTGCACGGAGCATTGCACGGGACTGTTGCATCACACGTTGCATGGGGACGTTGCACGGAGCATTGCATGGGAGCGTTGCCTCGCACGTGGTGTGGGGATGTTGCATGGGGATGTTGCATGGGGACATTGCACGGGGCATTGCACGGGACCATTGCCTTGCATGTTGCATGGGGATGTTGCATGGGGCGGGGCATTGGAGCGTTGCCTCGCACGTGGTGTGGGGATGTTGCATGGGGATGTTGCATGGGGCATTGCACGGGACTGTTGCATTGCACGTTGCATGGGGATGTTGCATGGGGCATTGCGCAGGGACGCTGCGTGGGGGCATGGCCTGGGGTGGGGAGGGGGCTCACCCCGGCAGTGACCCTCCCCCCCTTCCTGCTCCAGTGCCACCCCAAGCCCGCATCGTCCCCTCCAAGATTGGCAAGACCCAGGGACCCGTCCGCCTCACCTGCCACGTCTGGGGCTTCTACCCCCCGGAGGTGACCGTCATCTGGCTGCACAACGGGGACATCGTGGGCCCCGGTGACCACCCCCCCATCTCCGCCATCCCCAACGGTGACTGGACCTACCAGACGCAGGTGACCCTGACGGTGGTCCCGATGCCCGGGGACACCTTCACATGCTCAGTGCAACACGCCAGCTTGGACCAGCCCCTCCTGGAGGACTGGAGTGAGTTGGGGTGGGGGAGGGCACCCACCCAGACGCCTGGGTCCTTGCCACGGCGCTGCTCACCCCCACTGTGTCCCTGTAGGTCCCGGCTTGTCCCCGGGGTTGACATTGAAGGTGGTTGCAGCCACTGTGGTGATGGTGTTGGGGCTCAGCATCTTTAGCGTCGGCGTCTACCACTACTGGGCCAAGCCACCAGCACCGGGTGAGCGGTTGAGGAGGGACAGGAATGGGGACAGTGGCCTGAGGGGTCAGGGAGAGTGGCCTGGGGTGACATGGACCCTCCTCACCCCCTCTACTCCCTCTTGCAGGTTACACGCCCCTCCCCGGAGACAACTACCCCGCAGGTAATGGCAGACCCGGCCTGTCCCCATCCCCTGTCCCCAAGGGTCACATCACCCCTTCTGCCACCCCATGTCCTCCCCCCAGGCAGCATCTGAGGACCCCCCAGGATGGTGACCTCCCGGCCCCGATGGTGTGTGTCGTCCCCCCCGCCGTGTCCCTGTCACCCTGGGGCTGACACCCCGCTGCCGACAATAAAGATGCTCTGTGGCAATGGGGTGGTTTCGTACGGGGGCTCCCGTGTCGTCTCAGCGAGGGGAAGGGCTGTGGGGACGGGGACAAACACACACATGCACACGACGTGTGTATTGGGCTCCTGTGGCTCAAATTCAACATCTTCTGATGGCAACCTGGGGCTGGAAAGGTCTATTGGGTTGGCGGGGCGAGGTTTGGGTAGGGGGGGGGCTACAGGGGTGGGCTTTGTGGGAAGATTCCCCGAA